TGCGGATGGACGGGAGAATTAGTGAGTTTAAGACAGGGGGCACTGACTCTTGTGTTTGGAAATGAATCAGAGATCCGCAGTTATTCTGTTTTGAAGGAACATCGCTCACTAGCTGAGGCAATAGTGTGGTGGTTAAGAAAGCCAATGCTACGAGCAAACAAGCCTGGGTGCGAATTGCAGTGTGGCTGCTGGCTGCAGCAGGACCTTGAGTAAACTCCTGTGTCCTTGCTTGCTGGGTTCAGCAGCTCCTCCAGCTCTGCTTGTGTTTTCTGTTTTCAAGGAAGCCCTCTGCCTGGACCCATCTGGAAGGAGCTAACGGCACTCGGCTTGACCTGGGGGAGTGCTAACTGGGCAGACATGGTTTGACCATTTTTCACGACACCGGGCACACGGTGCGCCCTTCCCCGGGGTGCTCCTCTTTGAGGGTCTAGCCGTGCTAGCTTCCCCACAAGTGAACCTGCTGTGCAAGAGACAGCCACAATCCCACTCTGTGCAGTCATTCCTGGAGCCTGCCCCCACCTCCTTCTCCCCCCACCCCTTCTCTTTCTCTCATGAGAGACAGTCCTGCCTGCCTGCCGTAGGTTAAAAGGTGAAAGTCCTCTCCAGATCAGCTTGGCTCCTCAGTCCCTGAGCTCCTTTGTCCCAGGCCATTCCACCTCCCTTCATTCCACCGTGAGCAATCCATAAGCCCTTCCTCAAGCTGTCTGCCTCCTGCTGCCCTCAGGGCCAGGCCTTCCTCCCCACAGCAGTCTGAACCTTCTCCAGGGTTTGCACTACACGCCTGCTGTCTCCCTGCTCTTGGTGGACCCATTATACATATGTATCTGTGTTTTCTTCACGTTTCTGTACTCATTTGCCGATGACCTGTGTCCTGTGAGCTCCCTTCAGGCAAAGATTATATCTGCCTTTCCACCTCTCCCAGAGACATGCATAGCTCCTAAGACAAACGCAGTGCTCCGTAAGTGTAGCCAGACGGCATTCATGAAGGTGATGTGGTTGCTTTACACTTAATAATGCTCGTAGCTGGGATTATTTCAGTGCCGTGGGGAGGAAGGCCTGGCCCTGAGGGCAGCAGGAGGCAGACAGCTTGAGGAAGGGCTTATGAATTGCTCACGGTGGAATGAAGGGAGGTGGAATGGCCTGGGACAAAGGATTATTTCAGGACAAAGGTGGACCAGACACGACACTGGACATGGCTGTATTTAATCTCCCACCAAACCTATCAGTTCTGGTAAAATGGCAAATAGAAAACGAAGGCTCAGAGAGGTCAAATAACCTTGTTGAGTTCACACTGTCATCTAACGCTTCTGACCTCTGGCTCCTGCCTCACGCATATCCTAACTGGGCATGTAATATATCAGTCAGTAATGGCTGCTGGTTTGGGCTGCGTGCTGTGGAGCAGGAGCTGAGGCGCCTCTGAGGAAGGGAGCACTGGACACAGAACCACTGTCTTCAGGCCCTGGAAGGCCAGCTGTCACTAATGTGTTTGCAGGGACTGCCAGAAGCCTGTGTTAGCATGGAGAGCTTTTCCTAACTCCAAGAGCCCATTTCCACACTCCTGCCTTCCTCCTCCTCCTCTTGGGGCAAGGTGAAGTCTGAGAAAGCAAAGGGATTATCCTCACCCAATTCTTTGCTGATATGACCCAGGGGAGTTTCCAGACACTTTCCTGTGACTGTTCCAGCTAAGGACACGGCACGAAGCAGCAGTGACTCAGCAGAGAAAAGCAGGGCTTGCTGAAGGTTCCCAGGAAGACAGGCAGCTGCTGCCCATGCAGCCTCATCAGGCTGGGGCAGGAAACCACAGGTGGCCAGGAGAGAGGGTGGGGGAATCTCAAGATGAGAGAGCCTTGATGTGGAAAACCACAAATGGCCTTGAAGTCAGGTCATGGGGTAGAGACCTAGACCTTGCCACTTGCCAGCAACGTGACCACAGCTAACCAGGTAAACTTCCCAAGATTGGGATGCCTCTCTGCAGAGTAGGGCAGAAAAGCCACCGTGAACTTAAAGAATTGAAATCTACAGTGTTCAGGCACAGTTACCCATGATAACAGTAGGGTGAGGTTGGGAGAGAGGGAAGGAAAAGCCACCTTGAGCTGGAGAATGTGCCATCTGTGGGACCACAAACTGGGCAAGTCACCTTGATGTGGCTTCACTGGCTGGGTCCTGGCTGAGCAAGCAGTACATACTGATCCCTGGTCCTGGAACTCTGAAGCATGTTTTCTGCAGGTTGCTATCTTCAGGAAGGGCTGGATTACTCCCAGCTCATTGTGTTTGCATCATGTATGTTTTGCTTTGGCAAGCTGGAAGCATATGACTGTGATATCGTCAAGGGGACTTTCCCTCCAGTGGTCAAGCTGGACTGGCCACTTATCCCCTATGGACTTTGGCTGTGGTGAATTTCCTCTAAATGCACAGCCCTTTGGCTAGTGAGCTCTACAGCCCAGCTGACACTTTCCTTTCTTCCCATCCCCCCACCCCCCTTAAGGGAAAAAAAATGTGTTTACAAGAAAGATGCTCATATCACCTGACATCATCTCTTCTCTGAAAAACTGGGACAAAGAGAAGCCAAGTGGCTTTCTGCCATGCATGGGCCTGGCTTTTTGTCAAGTCAACACGTCTCTTTGAAATGGGGTGTCCGGGGACAGAATCTCAAAGCCTTTATGGGTAGACAGGGCTCGGGGCTGACTTAAGAGTGACAAAAGTAAAGTCTTCAGAGAAGATGAGACATCCAGATGAAGAAGTTTAAATGTCAAATCCAAGGGCACAAACCAGGTTAGGTCCCTCCTGCCCTGGTGCTTTTCCCAAAACCCAGACTGGATGATGTTTGCAAATATGGAAGGCAGTGATCGGGAGTACATCCTCTATCACACTTGTTGAGTTGAATCTTGATCTTGCTTTTTTTTTTTTCATGCTGGGGTTTGAACCCAGGGCCCTCATATGTTACATAAATGCTGTACCTCTGGGGGAATTCAGGCCATCACATTACATTACATTTGGTCATTTTATCTCAAGTGTCTTTTGGCTGTGACAATTTCCTGGTTTTTGTTGTTGTTGTTGTTTTGTTTGTTTGTTTGTTTTTCCCTTAGACTCTCACATCCAGCCAGATTCAGAGGCATGGGAATCTACACACAGCTGTCTGGGTTCAATTCTGGCCCCTCTGCTTACTATCTATATGACCTTGGTCCATAGCGATCCCTTACTGACTATCCCATAGGCTGTTCCCGAGAGTCAGGGAGTGCAATGCTTTCCAGCTTTTCCATATGACAGCTGGAAAATACATGAAGTTTGTATTAGATGTTAGTATGATATACAGTGTCAAGTGTGGTGGGGGAGGGGGCATAAGTAGGTGATTCTACTCAGAGCCAGAGATGAGGGGATGAGAAGTCCCCTCATCTTTCCAATGTAGCTCTGGTAGGTCATGCTAGGAAGCTGCTTTTGGACCCTATGAAAACACTTAGATTCTGCCTTGGCTGGCATGAGCATGCTTGCCAGAAATAGAAAAATATGAGCAGCAAAGAGCCCCACAAAAGGGGACAGTGATAGTGGTAAGGTGCCTCAGGGATCGTGTGTGTGTGTGTGTGTGTGTGTGTGTGTGTGTGTGTCTGTCTGTCTGTCTCTCTGTCTATCTGTCTCTCTGTATGTATGTGTGTGTCTGTCTGTCTCTCTGTATGTATGTGTGTCTGTCTGTCTTTATGTATGTATGTGTCTGTGTGTCTGTGTGACTTTATCTCTTTCCAGTTGAATGCACCACCACAGCAAGAGACACCACTTGTCTTTTGTGACGGATGGACACTTGGTGGCCAGCTAGTGAAACCTCCTGACACACCACTGCACTGTGAGGAGCAGAACAGCCAGTGGCTGACACCTGAAGAATGTAGAAAGTTCTATATTTGGAAACAAGCCATTGCAAGCGCATTGCATGCTGTGACTGTCCCACACTTCTGTGCCTAGCTTCTCTGGCGCCATCGTCTGGTTTCAGCTGAGTGGTACCATTGCTTGCACCTGCTAAGGTCATAAACAGGTCTCCCCTGCTCACATAGAGACTTGTTTCTTTATGGGAAATATTACCACTTGAGTAAATCAAATACATCCAATTTCTTGGGGAAGGGGGGATGATCAATAACCACAAAAGGAAAAAGAATTCAACACTGTATAAGCCATAGCATAACCCAGAGGATATATAACTGAGAAATTCTGGACACTTTGTAACTGATACAAGGTGACATTTTACATTTGCACTTCGTGATTTATGGTAATTTGGTCCATAGGGCCAGTTAAAAAATGGGTGTGTTTTTTTAATTGTAGTAGTAGTTGTTGTTGTTGTTGTTGTTGTTGTTGTTGTGTGTGTGTTGCTGGGGACCAAACCCAGGGCCTCAAGTGTGTTAGCCAAGTACCCTACCACTGAGACTATCTCCAGCTATAATCAAATCTTGATCTGAAGTCCATGAGATTATGGGTTGTTTTTGCTTTTAATAGTGAAAGCAGAACAATTAGATTTATTCAATATGGCCACACTGGGAAGAGACAAAAAGATCCAGCAATGTCCCCAAGTCCATCTTCAGGGATTCTGATGGGAGGTAAGGTTTAAATAGAAAGCAAGAGGTGCTGGGCAGTGGTGGTGGTGCATGCCTTTAATCCCAGCACTCGTGCGGCAAAAGCAGGCAGATCTCTGTGAGTTCGAGGCCAGCCTGGTCTACAGAGCAAGTTCCAGGACAGGCTCCAAAACTACACAGAGACACCCTGTCTTGAAAACCCAAAAAAGAAAAAAAGGAAGGAAGGAAGGAAGGAAGGAAGGAAGGAAGGAAGAAGGAAGGAAGGAAGGAAGGAAGGAAGGAAGGAAGGAAGGAAGGAAGGAAGAGGCATACATAAATGAACAGTTAGGCAAGATGTGGTCCCCTGTCCACCACTGTCTCAGCTCCTAGTCCCTCCGGCAAGGTCATTCTTTCAGCAGACCCATGAGGTTATGCGTGTCCCTGAACTGGTTTCTCTTGGTCTCACAGGAGTGCCTTTCTCCTTATGATGAGCCACCACAGCACAGAAACTTGCAAAGCTCGGCAGACGCACACCTAGGAACAGGGGTCTCCGAGCATAACCTGGATCCTCCCACCCACATTTGAAAGCGATTCTGGGCTGAATGGAAGTGAACATGCTACTAGCATCTACCTCTGTTCCTGCAATGAGGGGCTGCAGGGAGCAAGGAGGCATTCGGTGGCCCTGCGACATGCTGCACAAGCCACCTGCAGAGGCTGCGCCATGCACTGAAGGTGAATTGTACGGTACCACCACACTGGCCATTTGACCCCATCTGAAGGATTTGTGACCTCCAAGATAATATCAAGGTCAAACTAATGGTCTGGCCTGTAAGTTTACCTGCTGCACATTCTTCTCTAAGTGAGAATTTCCTGAGGCTGAGGAATTAGAGCTGTGAAGGGCTTATTCTCTCTGCACTTTGCCTCCAGTGTGCCAGCACCACCTCTGTCCAAAGATTCCAATGCCTTTAAGTCACAAAGGGATTGGTAGATGAGTTTAACACTATTGATGCTAGTTTCTGATTTTGTGTTTTTATGATGTGTGAGTGTGTATGTCTCTGTGTGTGCCTGTGTGTTTCTTGTGCTTCTTCGTTTTTATTCCTATTTGTTTGTTTTATTTTTGTTTGTTTTCTAAAGGCAAAGAGAAAGGTGTGGAGTCCTTAGATCCTTAGTCCCCGGCTCAGGGTGCCTGGTTCTGCCTCTGTAGTATTCCCAGTGCAGACTATTAACTGGAAGAGCAGCCACAGCTGCTGAATAGGCCCTCCATGCAAATACCATACTAGCTAGTCAACCAGAGTGGCACCATCAACTTATAACTGTTGGAAGATAAACAAAGATACTCAGCATCTACTGGGATTTTAGCCACTAAGACTAGGAGTGGGAGGAAAGTATGTGATGGGTGTAAGGATAGGGACCAGTGCCAGATCAACTTAGAAAGACCTATAGATGGGGACCGTGGAGAAGGAAAAGCTGGGACACTGCTAGGGTCCACAGATTTTAGAGATTTTTAAAGCTGTGGAAGGTTGTGGTTAGGAGGTACAGAGGATGGCAGGTAAAAGAAACAGGAATGAGAGGGAACGTGTATGAGTTGTGTGGGGAAAGAATAATAGAGTGTGCCCAATCTTAGACTGCGTGAGGAAACCGATCAATCATAAAATGTAACTGAGCAAATACAATCAAAAGCAAAGCCACTGTGAGCTATATATGCAAGGGTAGAAATTAAAAATAGCTAATGAAAGATTTTAAATACTAAAAATGACTAAATTCACCATAATATAAAATTAAAAAGGGACAAGTATAATAAAAGTACGTTAGATTAAAGAGTATTCTGCCAGTCATCATTTCTTCCTTGGTGGGAGGGACTTTGAATTCTTTCTTCGTGATGTTTCATGTAGTGCACTGCCCGATGCGGGAGGGACAATTTGCAATTCCGACTGGAACCTCCAGAACCAGATTTGGGATATGTGCTGCCTAGTGTTGTTCAGGGTTTTAAAGGGAGTATTGGCACACCTGCCCGGAGTCAAGCAGTGTCATTGTTAGGTGTCTCCTGGGTGCTCAACGCTGTGGTGTGGGTGTGGGAAGCGGGATTTGACTTCCACAGTAGTCTGGGTGTTCAGCACTACCAGTGTGTTAGCCGGTGCGCCACTGCCCGGTGATTTCCATGGACCTCAGCTTGTCCCCACTCTGTTTCAGCTTCTCTTCTACCTGCAGGGCCTACGTGTGAAAAAGAAGCACGTCCCAGCCTTTCCCACCGTGCTAAACACAGTGGAAAGAGCAGCTGGATTGGATTTTTGCTGATTCACGGACTCCTGCATTGGAGAGCTCATCTGGATAAAGCTCCCTTACAGATCACGTCTCTTACAGGAAGAGATTATAGTGCATTTATCTTGTATGCGGAAGCCAGAGGTCAACACTGCATGTCTTCTTCGGCTGCTCTCCATTTGCGTTTCACTGAACCCGGAATACTACAGTATCAGCTACACGGATACCAGCGGGCCACTGAACTCCAGTGCTCTGCCTGGACCTGCCCCACCAGCACCAGGGTTACCGGCTGCCCTGCTCCACTTGGCTTTTACACAGATCCTCAAAGCACTTTACCGAATGAGCCATCTCCTCATTTCCCAAGTGTGTTTTCTTGGCTCTTTTCCTTCCCAGGGCTTTATTGCCAAAGCTAGTCTGCCATCCTACCCAGAAGTCCTCTGCCTGTGTTCTTCACCATTGTACAGAAACAAACTCACATGAATATACATGTACCCATACAAAGCAAAGGCTTCATGAGACAACACGCACTTTTAATATGTATATTCATAAGTACAAACATAAATAGAAAACAATTAAGTAGCAAGCATGGATTTCTGAATATTCAAATGCAGCACAAAACATCCCAAAATGTTTAATACAAAGCTGAAAAATATTAGTTTTGTACCCCTGCCTTAGTTTCACAGCCATCAGTGGCTTGCAAGAGCTCCATAAAAGCACATAGCTGCCAGGCGCAATGGTAACTTTAATCTCAGCACTTGGGAGGAAGAGACAGATCTCTGTGAGTTCAAGGCCAGCCTGGTCTATATATAGTGAATTCCAGTGAGGGTTACACCTGTCACACACACACACACGCATGGCCAGGTGTGATGACAACTGCAAAGAGAGCTGGGAAAGAGATCTGCTGCAGTGCCCGCCCCCACACACACACACACACACACACACACACACACACACACACACACACACGCTAACCTAGCACACCTTAAGCCCTGGGTTCCACCTCTGGCTCAAAACAAAAACAACACACAGGTCTGGTTGAAGTATCGGTGAGTAACCGTGATGACAGCAGTGTGGTAGGAACACGTACATTAAGACAGCCCAGGTGTGACCCAGGGAGCCTTGTAGAGAAAGTGGCTTTTGTCCTGATGGGCAAGGGTGACTGGGGTGGCGGGGCTCAGGTGAAGGAAGCTGGGCAACCTGGGCAGGCAGGCAACGCCATTAGCAAAGGCCTGGCTGGTTTATAGTGTCCGCAGACACCCGGCCTCTTGCCACTGTAGCAGGAGGGAAGAAATGATTTTCCTACCTAGAATGCCATGGTGAGAAGAAGCCATTGGGTGGAATGCTTGCAAAATAAAGCGAAGAAAAAACCAAAACAACAAAACACCTTTACCAACAAAATATGTGTCTATGCAATAACAGCAACAACAAAAATAGATTACCAAAGTCTAAGATTCAAGATAATTGCAACCAGGATACGTGCTGGGTAGGATGAAGTTCGGGGTGATTGTTCTACACTTGCTTAGAGACAAGTAAATTAGGTACTATTTAACTTATTGCTCATACTGTGAAAATGTGGAAATGATGTTGCTTAACTTGTACAGGTGATCGAGCTTTGAAAGGTGTCGAGAGGTGTGGTTTCTGGCTCCAGAAGGCTTTCTCCTCCGGTGGGTCTGCCATCCCTTCCCCTCCCCTCCCATCCCCACCACTGGGCTCTCCTCAGCACCAGGCTTTCCTCTGTACTATCTACATCCCTTGTACCTGACCGGAGGCTCTGAGTCTTGTGCTGTGGCTCCCAAGAGAAGAAAGGTCAGGACTAAGAAGACAGCCTCAGCCCTCTTCCGGCTGACTCAGCCTCCCACTTCACCTCTGAGTGTACTAATAAGAGGTTCTGATTTGACCTGGCGTTCCTCTCCCTCCTGCCAGGATCTGGCTGCTACTGTACCTCACCCTCCGGTGTGGTGTTCTGCAAAGCTTGCCCTTTCTTTGCCTGGCTGGGGGCTCTGCCTCTCACCTCTCTGCACAGTCCTTCCACACACCTGCAAGCAGGCTCTTGTGTCTAACGGCCTCAGAAATCCATGGTCTGCAGAGCATTTTGTCAATCTTTTGTTATCGTTAAGAAGTCCAAAGTGACCCAAAGGAGCGGAGGACAGTACAGTAGCTTTTCCTGGTTGCTTTGTTTTCTTATTCAACTTTATTTTAATGGATATTTGAGAGATTTTGGGTCAAGTTATTCTATTTTAAAGTACCAATTTTTTAAATAAAGAGCTTAAATTTCTCTCTCTTTCCCTCTCTCCCTCTGTCACACCACACACACACACACACACACACACACACACACACACACACACACTCCACAAAATATTCTCCATTCCTTCTGAAGGTTTTAGGATGCCATGAACTAGCTCTTTACTGTTAAATGTAAATGACCGGTTGAGACGAACAGCTGAGACCATTCTTCAGCCACTGATCAAGACAGTGTCAGGTGTTAGGGATAATATGTATCCGGCCTCCTGAGTTTTCTGTGCAGACTTGGTGACCCTGTCAGCTCCAGCAGCCTTCTTGCCCACAGCTTTGCTGTTGCCCACATCAACCAATTTGTTTCAGATCACAGACAACAAAAGGACCTCGTCAGAAGAGCTCAGAACATGCAGGGACTTGCTTGGAGCCATATTGGGGGTGGCTGCCTACCAGATTTCAAGGATTTAGAGCCATCTTCCAGCCTTTCTTCCTCCTCCTCCTCCTCCTCTTCTTCCTTCTTTGCCTCTGTGTGTAATGTGTGTGAATATGGGTGCGTGCATGCCATGATACACATACGAAGATCAGAGGACGTTTTTCCTGAGTTGGTTCTCTTCTTCCATCGTGGGGTCTTGGAATCAAACTCAATGTCATCAGGCGTGCACAGCAAGTGTTTTTACCCACTGTGCCATCCCACCAGAACCACCTTCTTCCCAGAACGGTCATCAGTTTTTCCTTTGAGCTTAGCAGACTAACAAGCAGTGGGAGGTGTGTGGCGATCCAGCACAGCGACAAGACAGCGCTAGCTGGGCCGGGATGGTTCAGGATAACCACCTGGGTGAGGTTGAGGTGAGGCCAGCGGCTTCCATTGGTGCATCCCTGTGGCTGTTGCCAGCAATATTGCCACAATGAACATCTTTTGCAGATACGGTCTTGGCACTGAAGTCCACACTATCCCCAAGAAGAGCTTCACTCAAAGCCTTGTGGTACCTTTCAGTAGACTTTAACTTCAGTTGTGACGTTGACTAGATCAAGCCTGTCCACCATGTCAGGTCTGAGAACACCAGGCTCCACTCAGTCTACAGGGACAGTAGTAAACCTCTAATTTTATAGCTGTCTGGGAATGTCTACTGGTAGGAAGTAGTCCAAAACTTACAGCAGCGTGGTTCCATCACTGCCATCTTCACAGGTGACATCCTACCCCTTGAACCAAGCCATATCAGCATGTTGTTCCCGTTCCAGCCAGAAATTGGCTCAATGCTACTGTCATAGGGCTAAGCCAATTTACTAGATGTAGGGGCTGACTTCTTTAAAAGTTTCCCCAGATTTTCTCTGGCTGTGGAGTGGCTCTATTTTGTTGACGCCAAGAATGAACTATTTCACACCCAGCATGAAAGCATAAAGACATGTTCATGGGTCTGCCTATTCATGGAGATTACAGTTTCAGCTTCACCAACAACAGTGGGAATCACCAGGAGAGTCTGAGACAGGAGCGTAATCATGTTGTTAACCAAGTCTCTGAGTCCTGGGGCATCAGTGATGGTCACATACTTGTTGGTCTCGAATTTCTACTAGGAGAAGCCAACAGTGACACCATGTTCACACACTACCTTTTAGTTTGTCCAAGACCCAGACATATTTGGAGGAGAGCTTTCGAATCTTGACAACCTCCTTCTCAAATTTTTCTTTAAAGAATTTTTTTAATTACATTTATCCATTTATTTTGAGGAGCATGCATACTCCTATGAGTGTGTGGTAGTTACAGACCAACTTGTAGAACTTGGGGGAGTTAGTTCTCTCCTTACACCATGTGGGTTCCAGGAATCAAACTCAGATCTTCAGGCTTGGCAGCAAATGTCTTTCCCCACTGCATTGTATGGCTAGCTCCTTGGTTTTCAGTGGTTCTTTTGTCGATCCCACCACATTTGTGGACCAAATGGCATTGCCTAAATCTGCACGTCCAACAGTGATGTCAGTGAGTCTTTCCTTTCTCGTTGTGACTTCAGTTTAGCAGTGGCTTCACAACACTGTGTTCTGACGGCAAACACTATGTGGGTAAGAAGTACATTAGTTTTGAAGGGTACAAGGTCCAGTGTGGATGTGGGGCAAGTAGCGTCCTGGAGAGAGATCCAGAAATGAGGTCTGAGAATCCAGAAGGCAGCAGAAAGGCAAAAGATTTAGGGTTTCAGGGGCCATCAAGATGGGTCACTAGGTAGAAGTACTTGCCACCAAGCCTGACAACTTGAGTTTAATCCCTGGAACTCACGTGGTAAAAGGAGAGAGCCAGCTCCCAGGGGTTGTCCTTCTGATCTCTGCAAATGCAT